ATCTAGATTGGGTTGAGTTGGGTTGGGTTAGGATTTGAACTGTACCCAGATTGGGTTAGGGTGTGAACTTTATTCACGTTCCTTATGTAGCCAACTCAATCAACTCGAAATTTCGAATTAGTCCAAACAAATTTTAACCGAACTGAACTGAACCCATATACACTCCTATAGTGAGGAGATAAACGATGAACCGATCTGAATGAAAACAGTTCAAAGTTAAACGTGTTTAATTTTAAATAATTTTATATTTTACGGAAATTAAAATGACAAAACATATTTAAAAAATTTGATAACGTCACATTACATATAACCTAAATCATTAATTTTAAAATTGTATTAAATTTAATAAATTTAATTTTCTAAAACACATATTTGAATAATCATTTCCATCTTTGAATTAAAATAAAAAAAATAAAAAATTTAATTTTTAATTAATAATTGTAAGAGTACTTATGAACGTGGAATTTGTCACACTATGAATTGAATATCAAAATAAGTCTCCACATGACCGTTTAATTTACGTCAATTCAATATTCCACGCGTTATTAATTAAATTGCTTTTGAACAATATTAATATTTAAAATTCACATTTTTTTTATTAGAAAATTATTTAATCTATATAATTTGACCATATAACACCAAAAAAAAAAAAAAAACACTTATTTCATTTTATTTTTTACTCAACCCCAAATAAATAAAAATAAATATGAGTATATTTTCGTCCACAATCTCTCGATTTTAAAATTATGAGTTAGAAAGAGGTTTTCACACCCTACAAGAAACGTTTCAGGTCCCTTTTAAACGACGTCAGATATCCCAACAACCGACAAAAAAAAAAAAAAAAAATTGAAAACAAAACTAGTGACACGTATTTTACGAGGAAACATAACACAACGAGCAAAACAAATAAAACACACTTATAAAAATAAAAGTAGCTGTCGATATTTGTTATATTAAATTTAGTACTGAAACATTTTTGTATATATATAATTATTATTTTGGTCAAAAATATCAAATAAATTATAAAAGATTTTAAATTATTAAAAAATATTTTTATGTCCAATATATCTTTAAACTTTTATATTTTAAAAATAATAAAAAAATAGTAAAACAAACAAATCTAGAGATTCTCCCCTCCCCTAAATAATAATAATAATAATAATAATAAAAATAAAAATAATAATGTTGATCGTCACCAAATTGAATACTGACTGAGTCACCAATTTGTGTCCATGTCCACCATTTTCTCTCATCCTCAAGCTTTCTCTCTCCTCAAATTTCTCTCTCTAACCATATTGCTGACTCTGAAATCTCTGACCCCGATAGTTTAGTCACCAAATCTGCATCTCTGTACCTTCTCTTGCCCCCTTTCCCTTTCCCTTTCCCCTCCCATCTCTCTTTCTCTCTCCTATTCCTAGAGAGAGAAAATCTACCCCCTTTGAAAAATAGTATCCTACCCTGTTCCCCCTCCCCCACCACCCCTCCTTTTAAATCTCTCTCTCTTTCTTTCTCTCTCTGTATCAAAAAAAATAAATATATATATATACATATATATATGTGTGTATATATATGTTCTTTCCATTTAACATCCCATTTTCGCCACGACTTCCTGTTTTGAATCCAAACCCATTATTCCTTTCCATCTCTCTAAAAAGGGTTTGATTTAGTTTCTTCTGGGTCGCCGGAATCCATGGCGGTTCACGCTCAGTTCTACCCTGAAAACCTTGCCTTTCCCTTCGCCGGAAACTCCACGGATGCCGTCTCTCAGTTTTGCTTCCAGAAACCGCCGACTGAGTTCTTCTCTGGTGGTGGTGGCGGCGGTAGTGGCGGTAATGGTGGTGGTGACGGTGGCTCTGTTTTTAGCTTCGCGAAAAATCCCAACAGAACGGCCGTTGCAGCGGCGGGGTTTTCTCAATGTGTGAGTGCCCATGTTGAGAAACAGAGACAAGAGATCGATTATTACATCAGAGTTCAGGTTCGAATCAAACCCATTACAGAATTTATGAGAATGCTCTGATTTTTTTATCACGATTTTGATTTTCCTCTGTTTTTTTTTTTAGAATGAGAGCTTAAGAATGGCGTTGAGAGAACAAGGAAAGCAACAAATTACGTCATTAATGAAGAAAATAGAAATGAAAGCAGCAATTTTGTTAAGGCAAAAAGAAGAAGAAATTGCTAAAGCTTCTAAGAAAACAATGGAACTTGAAATTTTCTTGAGAAAATTAGAAACAGAGAATCAACTATGGCAGAAAATCGCTCAAGAAAACGAAGCAATGGCCATGTCTCTCAACAACACATTAGATCAAATGAGAGAAAAAGCTTCTAATTCCATGGACGATGCAGAATCCTGCTGCGACATGAACTCCGCCGCCGCCGTGGAGGAAGAAATCCGACCAGGGTGCTCTGTTTTGGAACAGGGGAGAATGAAGAACAGGATGATTTGCAGAGAGTGTAATCATCGGAATTCGACAGTGATTCTCTTGCCTTGTCGGCATCTGTGTTGCTGTAAGGATTGCGAAACGGTTGTGGATTCATGTCCGGTTTGCAGAACGGGGAAGAAAGCGAGCATAGAGGCGATGATTTTCTGAGAAAAACCCAGAAATTTTCTTTCCCGGGAAAAGCCGAGAAAATCAGATAGGAAAATGTCAATAGAAGAAGGCACNGTTCTTCAACGTTTCTTTTTTTTTTTTTTTTTTTTTTTTTTTTTTTTTTTTTTTTTTTTTTTTTTTTTTTTTTTTTTTTTTTTACTGTTTCATCTGATTTTGGATTGGAAAATTGTACTTTGAAACTCTACCAAAATGAAGTGGACAGATTATTACAAGACAGAGCATCTTTTTTCTTTTCCAAATTCTTTGATTGTTTTTTAATTTTTTGAATAAAGGTTATTTATTTATTTAATTTATTTTAATTTGATGAACAAAATTCTTGGGTTTTGAAGATTTAATTGATTATGTTATGGCAATTTTTAGTGACCCATTTTGGGCTTTGTTTGTCAGGTTGTTTCAGAGCTTTGTTTGGTTCCATTTGTTAATATAAATTGGGATATTCTTTTATTTTTTCCTATTAATTAATTTACTGATTTTTGTCAATTTATTATTTTTTTGTACTTTATTCATTTAAAATTATTTGATAAGCCATTTTTTTAATCTATTCATCTTGTTGACTTTGACCCATTTATATTTTTTGGATGTTTGAATAATTTTTTTTTTTTGCAATATAAAAAAATTAATAAAATAGTATTTGGGTTCGAATCCTAGTTTAGTTTTATCAATTATTAAGTAGTTTTGAGTCTTGTTAATCCCTCCATTTCTATCGAGGAGCCTGCGTGTAATATATTGCTCCTCCAAATTTTGAAGGGTAGCAGGGATACCATACGACGTGTGGTGCTCTTCCAATAGTTGACCCTACCTACGGCTCAACCATTTCCAGGGTGGGGAGAAGGTCCGCAAGGGACACCATTCTTGACTCTACCCTATGACTCAACCATTTCCAGAGGGGAGACTTTTAAACAGGAAAGATAACTCTTCTCAAGATGTTCACCGATGTCTCTAGACTCCCTAACGTTACCGTTAGCCGCTACGTCCCAGTTCAAAATTTTTAACACATTCTCTTTCGAGAAGCTCACGCTATTGCACTATCAATTGATAAGTTTGCTATTGCACTATCACTGGTGAATAACAATCATAGTGATGATGTTGAAGATTACCCATAATTTTTCAATGAAATGTTAAAATAATTAAAATTATTTTGGAGGTTTAGTGATATGTGCACAAATTAATGATGATCCAACCAAACACATGCCCATATTTGGTCAGTTGAATCATCATTTAAACATGAACCCTTTGAGATTTCATTTAATTTAATTTAATTAATTACACAATTTGACCAAACAATGTCTTAATTATATGAATCACTAATCTTTAATTCTATTTATTTTATTTCTACATTAAAATAAAATAAAATAAAATAAATATATACATTGGAAAATAGCGTTTTTGAGTTTAGGGCCGGATATTACTCCGATATGTCGACCAAGAAATCTGCTGCTACGCACACACCATGCACCTTAAATATATCACACGTGGCGGTAATTGATTGGTTTACAACAGTATGCAGTTCTGATTTCAATTTTTAAATTAAAAAATTTCCGTGATGTATTGTCCGTTTCACTCTCCCAGAATCGTGGGAGACTACCATGCAATTTCTTTTTTTTTTTTTTTCTTTTTCTTTTTATTCACTAATTTTTTTTTTAAAAAAAGGTAATTTTATATGTTTTATTTTTGGAAAAAGAAACCGCGTTGTTCACGGTGTGATTAAGACATACTTCACATTCTCATAATTTAAAAGGATTAAAAAATTGGAAGTAAACAATTTAAAAGGATCGTTTTAGCGGTAATATAGACTAAAATTAAAAGTAAAGAAATTAAAGTGGAGGGTATGGGCATGAAGGAGAAAAGAGGAATATTGGAGGGGTTCTAATTGTTGCACACCAATTTGGGGTTGGACCTACTATGCATACACCCATCCCTATCCTTTTGTTTTTCTACTCGGATGTGGTGGGGTGGAATATAAATGTGGTCGATGCTCAATGGTTTGGATATCATATTCGAGAGAAGATTTGATTAGGATAAGAATAAGTTCTTTCGTAGGTTTAGAAAGTCGATGGCTAAATAGCTATTTGAGAGAAGACATTCGTCGAATATAGTTTCACATCAAAAAGGAAATAGTATACAAAAAAAAAAAAAAAAAAAAAACCCGTGTAACACTACCTTGATATTTTATAAGATGGTACTAAATTATCCTGTGATCTGCAAAGGTATAACAAGAACTTATTTCAGGATTCAAATGGCAAGGAAGAATAATTCTATACATGAATAAAAGGTCAGATGGAATATGAATAGGACACTATTCATTCCATTCTCATCTCCAAATTTAAGTAAACAAGGCATTAATTCTTTATTAATGTTTGAAAACTAAGAGATAGGAAGAACACTATTCAGTTCATCCATTAATGTGCTTGGGAAAATTCAAAGTCGTCTTTCCCCAGTCCAAACTACTTTCATTAGTCAATCTAAGTCACATCACATCACAAATACATAAACACATTGTTCAAGATAAGATCAGATCACTCATCATTTCAACAAAAAGAAATAAACAATGAGAGGCTTGGGGAAGAAGAATGGTAGTAGTTTGAAAAACATTTTTTGTAAAAGAATACAAAGTACACCTGTCCATTACATGAACCTATACAGAAAATAGTGCTACTTTCTCAATCTAACAAAAAAAAAAAAAAAAAAAAACCCATCTCACAGATTTCAATCAAGTCTTTAGCCATTTTGCACAGAACCTTGTCAATCTTTAACTGTTCTTGAATGGGGGATTTGGATTATGGCCACAGGCAGAATATCTAACAAAAAATGAACCCATCTCACAGATTTCAGTCAAGTCTTTTAGCCATTATGCACAGAACTATGTCAATCTTTAACTGTTCTTGAATGGGGGATTTGGGTTTGGATTTGGATTATGGCCACAGGAAGAAGATCATGGCAACCTTTTTAAACAATATGAGATCCGTACTACAAACAAGATCCAAAGGGGGCAGTAAAGATAAAATCTTGAGAGAGAATTTTTGCTACTCCTCAATACTAATAACTTTATATCTGGCGCTGAAAGGGACTAGGGGAAAGGATAATAGCGTGTGGTGGTGGGTAAAGCCGATCAGTAGAGGCTAAAACCAAGAAAGTGGGTGATGATAATGGCAAGGCCAAGAGCAATGGCTACAAAAGAAGCAGCCCAGGTCAGTCTTTCAGTTATTCTAGGCACTCTGTCCTTCAACGCCTCGCTAAACGAGCCTATGAAAGCAGTATAGCTTCCCATTGAAAGAACTGTTCCAACTAAAAACATAAGAAGAAAGGCAGCGCCGGCTACACGGGAAGGCAAGGCAAGGGCAGGCAAGACTATCATAAGTGCATCAGGTTGCAGACCATGGACAACTCCAGTGGCAAAAGTAGCAAAACCAATCTTTTTCTTCTTTTTCTTTCCCACAACCATTGGTTTCTCTAGTGTTTCATAGATGCCGACATCACACTCACCATTTTCTAGAGCCACACATGGTGTACGGACTTCTGAAACTTCCCTAATACCCATAACACCTATTATAAATAAAGTCATACCTACTACTATTGTGCCCCAAGTTCTGAGAATTTCAATGTGAAGCTTATCTTTTAAAAGTAGAAATAGTAAGCCAAAAATGACCTGACCTGCATCATGGCCACACCCCCAAAGTGCCCCAACTGCAGCACTTTCCATGCGATTGCAGCCAATTGAAAGTGGTGCAAGAGCAGCAAGGTGATCTGGTCCTGATAGTGTATGTAAGCAACCAGCAAAAAACCCTGTCCAAGCACTACTTAATAGTTCACTCTGGATCAGTCGTCGCCCAACGACAGCAGCTGCAGGACCTCCAGTTTTAGCTGCTGCATTTTGAAAGGATGCAAAAGCTGCTGGCGCAAGGCCTGGTTGGATCAGGATCAGAACAAGAGCAGAAAGAACACAGAGTGACCTTTTCACCTATAAGAAGTTTAACGTGTGAAATTCTATTAGCTCTAAGAAGAAAAAACACAATTACAGCCAAAAGGGTCTTTGTTTTTCATCATATTTTATAAATTAATAGCTAAACAATATGAACACTCAGTTTTCTCTGGTGTCATGTTTGTCCATTCTGCTAATCCATGAACTCGTAACAACTACAGCCAAAAGGGTCTTTGTTCTTCATCATATTTAATAAGTTCATAGCTAAATAATATGAACACTCAGTTTACTCTGGTGTCATGTTTGTCCCTTCAGCTAATCCATGAACTAGTAACAGATATGCATTGGGCTTAAATGGAAATAAACTAATTTGACAAGTGTCTGAAATCGTTCACAAATTTCATTATATTGCTTCATAAATGCCAGGGATGCTTGAACATGTGAATAGGGCTGGGATTTTCGTGGTATCCAAAGATCAGAAAAGGATAAGGCGACAAACAATAAAATAAAATCGTAACCACTGCTGCGTCTGTATTCTGTATCTGTTTGCGAGCCTGTGACCACATGCAAATAAAAGCGTAAATGTGAATATTTAATTTCAATGAGTACTGCTAACAATAAAAGAGGAACGCAGCATGAAACAGAAATTTCTCTGAGCATATCCATCGTTCGTCATTAAGATCAGTTTCCACAATTATTTCTCAATAAAGAATCTCAGTCGATGCTTAAAACAACGGAAGAATAATCCGAAATGTTAGATTAGTACAATGCAAGGGCACACATACGAAGCCGTCGCCGGTAATTGTATAGAGACATTGCTGATTTAATATTACAAAATTTAAAATCACAGTTATTATTATCAGTGATTTCAACAAGAAACTGGAATCCTAAAATAAGATCAAATTAAGCAATGCAACACAGCAGATATTTCACATGACTCGTATGATTAGGCAAAAATTCATGCAATAAATTGAAAAAAGTACTCGAGACTGTAGGAAAAGTGACCTACGAATTCGATAATTAATCCAAACTGAATTGAGTTATAAATCAAACAATTCACAGTACTCCAAACTTGACCTAAAATCAATAAAAAGCGCTTCACGGTGAATAAGACGGTATATATAATCCCAACGTAATCCAATTACCTGATAATCAAATGAAAAGCAACGAAGAACGGGAAATTAACACCAGAAAAAAAACCGAATGGCATTTCAATCCAATACCTTCTCCTTTCCTGCGAAATGTTCCAGGAAATCAGGCTTAGGCGAGCCGGCAAGAGAATCGGACGGGAAAATCGAATCGCTCAACCAATTCGAGGAAGAAAGGCAACAAAACGAAGACATAGAAGGCTTCTCGTTCTTACAGAAGGTCAAACCGAGCGGCTTGAGTCCATGGAGCGTCGGGAGGGGAAAATTGAGCTTCAGAGAGTCAATGCGACCAGACCAGAGAAGAGTAAGAGATGAATTGAGGTTAATCTTGAGGGAGGTCGGAGAAGGAGAATACAGAAGCCTTTCCATAGCGTCTCTTCGCCGTCGTTTGGGCCTGCGGCGGAGGAAGAAGAAGGGTCGAACGTGACCCCAAAAGGAGGGTGGTGGTGAAGTTGGTACTTGGAAGATAGAGTCCAAGCAAAACAGTTCCAACAGAAAATTGAAATCCCCATTTTTTTTTTATTTTAATATTATTTTTCTCTGGTTCAGTGAATTAACGTGGGCTCGTATACTACCCTACTTAGAGTTAAATAAAAATTGAAAATACTTTATAAAAATAAATTATTTTGAATTTAAATATATTGTACGATAAGATTCATCAGCTTTGGAAGAAGCTCGTAAAATTTGGCTCATCACCTCGTGTTTTGCTCTGATACCATTTGTAATAGTCCAAGTTTACTGCTAACAGATATTTGTTCGCTTTGACCCGTCACGTATCGGCATCAGCTTAACCATTTTTAAATCGAGTTGCTAGAAAGAGGTTTTCATACCCTTATAAAGAATATTTTGTTTCTCTTTTGCAGTGATATGAGATCTAACAAATTACGCGATTAGATAGATCAACCGATACTATAGCAGAGCTGATTGCAAATGAGGAAAAATCGGCCACGTTATCATTACCTCTATAAATCGCTCAGCAATCATCGAACGGGCAAAGTAGTTATAAACCTTGTGAACAAAATATAGAAAATGATATTTAAAAAAAAACATAATATTTTGTTCAATAATTTTTAAATCAAATATAAAATCGAAAATTAATAATATGGCCCAAGTATTCAGGGGTATTTCCGTCATTTAAACTACTAAGGATAGCCAGGTACTAACGTGGCGCGAATTTAAAAGGACTATATCGTTATTATCCATTTTCACCAAAACGAGAGGTCCAACAACTTCCATCCTGTAGCAAAGCAGAGACACAAATCCTCCAAATCTAAAATCCACTACAACACAGCCCACAAAATCAGATGGTCAAACAAACGAAAAGTCAATAGTCATCAATTTTCCCAGACTCTATTGGAGAAAAAGATCTTCTACTGTACTTGCGTTGCACCTGATTATAGTCGAAATTTTTAAGAAACCAACTGAATGAAAGCCTTCAGCAATTGCACAGTTTAGCGGTGGAGAAGAGCTCTGAAGCTTTGAAGGTTTGGCTCCAATGGCGAAGCCGGTTCAAGTTGAAGTGTGGAATCCTAATGGAAAGTACAGAGTTGTGAGCACCAAGCCTATGCCTGGAACTCGCTGGATCAATCTCTTGATCGAACAAGATTGCCGAGTTGAAGTAATTTTTCTTGTGTTTTTCTCTTTGTTTCCCGCCTGTTTCTGCTTCCTGGCGGCAATTTTGATGTGGATTTAAATTTTTGCGTTCGTTTCGTGTTGTAGATTTGTACCGAGAAGAAGACGATACTCTCGGTGGAGGATATTGTTGCTCTCATCGGCGATAAGTGCGACGGCGTTATTGGACAGGTATTTGAACCTAATCGCACTAGTTCTTGTCAATCAGAAAGTTTGTTTTCATATTAGCTAGTTTGAGTCGATCTGAAAGAATTATAGATTAGAGTCGTAGAGGAAAGAAGAGATGGAAGGTTAATCTCTACATTAAAACTAGTTGATTATATGATTTTAAGAATTTAAATATGATGATATCTGAGCGTTTACATGCGGCTCCTGATGGATTGAAATTGGACAAACGTTTGGTTGCCGTACAATTCCTAATGAGTTTCCTTACTTGTGATTCTGAGGTTTGTTTTCTTGGATGTTTCAGTTGACTGAAGATTGGGGAGAGGTGCTGTTTTCTGCATTAAGCAGAGCCGGAGGCAAAGCTTTTAGTAATATGGCTGTTGGTTACAATAATGTAGATGTTAACGCTGCTAATAAGTATGGTATTGCTGTAGGAAACACTCCTGTAAGTTTATTTGGCTCTGTAAACTGTTACTACTTGAATTGTTATTTTGTACCACTTAAATTTGATTCTGCATATAATGAGATATAGACAGGTATTTAGATCATTCATTTCTTATTTGTTTAGGGAGTACTTACAGAAACTACAGCAGAGTTGGCAGCTTCACTTTCTCTTGCAGCTGCAAGAAGGATCGTTGAAGCTGACGAGTTCATGAGGGCAGGCCACTATGATGGATGGCTTCCAAATTTGTATGGCTTCCAAATCTTTTAAAAATAGGCATCCAAAGTGGCCCTACAAATTTGAAGTAATTTTTTTAATAGGTTTGTTGGAAACTTGCTGAAAGGCCAGACTGTTGGTGTGATTGGAGCTGGTCGTATTGGATCTGCTTATGCAAGAATGATGGAAATTTTCCTAACTCAATTGTTTATGAGTTTATGGTATAGTACCTGTTTTCCCTTGATGACTTCTTGTTATATTCTTGCAGGTAGAAGGGTTTAAGATGAACCTGATCTACTTCGATCTTTATCAGTCAACCAGACTCGAAAAGTTTGTTACAGGCATGTCTTAATCGACGATTCTTTAAAACAATGAGTTTCAGTCCCTTTAGTTGAAACGCTTGTTTAATTGCAGCCTATGGCGAGTTCCTTAAAGCCAACGGTGAGGTTCCTGTGACATGGAGAAGAGCATCATCCATGGATGAGGTGCTTCGAGAGGCTGATGTGGTATGAGTTTGATGTGATTAATTAACATGGTTTTGAAGAGCTCATCTTCCCTTGTGCAACATAAAATTGCTATTGTGCGTTCCTTTGGATTTATAGATAAGTCTTCATCCAGTACTGGATAAAACCACCTTCCATCTGGTGAACAAAGAAAGTCTTAAAGCCATGAAGAAGGTGAAGCTTGCTAAGGCTCTTTTCTCCCTTCGATTATAGTTTTGATCTCCCTGACCCTATTCGACCCTATTACAGGGATTCCTGATTGATTACATTTAAACTTATGTTTCTTTAAATTATATTATAACTGCAGGATGCAATTCTCATTAACTGTAGTAGGGGACCCGTGATTGATGAAGCAGCCCTTGTCGAGCATTTAAAAGAGAATCCGATGTTTCGAGTTGGCCTCGATGTCTTCGAGGTATTTCTACTTACAAGTTACTCACTTTCTTATTAACTGTAGTAGGTTAACATGTCTTGTTTCATCACTCTTTGGTTAGGATGAACCATACATGAAACCTGGGCTTGCTGATATGAAGAATGCGATCATTGTACCTCACATTGCTTCCGCTTCCAAGGTAAATCTCTGCCTAGTTTGACGGTGAAATGAGGATATCCTTACAGAAGCATTGACCTTCTTTCATAACCATCATGTAGTGGACTCGTGAAGGAATGGCGACTCTGGCCGCTCTTAATGTTCTGGTGTGCAACCTATAAATTTGGACTCCATGAATTTATTTTATTTTCATTTAGATTGTTCTTCTTATCTGGCTTGCATTTTGAGCTTAAAACACTGGCTTCTCTAACCACAGGGAAAAATTAAACAATATCCCGTTTGGGCCGATCCGAACCGAGTAGAACCATTCCTTGATGAGAACGCTCCACCTCCAGCTGCGTCTCCAAGCATTGTGAATGCAAAAGCCTTGGGTATATAACTGAAAAAGGTTTAAATACTACTTTGATCCTCGTACTCTTTGGTTTATCATAATCATTATACTTTCAACTTTTGTTTATTTTAGTCAATTTACTTTACTTTCAAAATGTTCCTTTTGATCTGTGACCATTTTTGCCCTTCATTTTTAATCAAAATTTTAGCATTTTAAGTCATAAATTTGTATTCAAGGGTTTCCATTGTTTATAAAGTTTATATTAAAATTTTGCAAATAGGAATTAAAATGATCGGTTTTTTAAAAGTACAAAGATCAAAATGAACAAAGTTGAAAGTACATGAATAAGAAAGAACCTTTTAAAAGTACAAAGACTAAGGTAGTATTTAACCCGAACTTAAAATCAGCTGAGCTATTATAGTTCAATTCTCTTACTTCCATAATTTGTGGTCTTTGCAGAATTGCCTGTGTCAAAGCTGTGAATCGATGATGATGCTTACTTACATTAAGATCTTTCAGCACCAATCGCAAGCATTACAGACTTTGAGGTAAATGAAAACTCTATTTACGAGTGAATTTGATGAGTGTCGAACTCTGCACAATTGATTATAATGTGCGTATATATCTCTCTGGTTGAAAATGCAAGTCCATCACCTAGTTAGTACAACATCAAATATATTAGTTTGAATTATTTATTTAATCCATGCGATATCGTTTTAATTTTAATTAAATCCCTATGGTTCAAAGGAGTTTAAATCGTATGGCATCTTTGATTAAAGCATATTATATTTAATTTCATCACTAAACCAAGAAATTGTTATTATTATTATTATTATTGTTATTATTATTTTGTAAGAGTAAGTTGTAATTTTGTTTTCAAACTCTAATAGACTTCGCTTCTAAGAGTGACTTTGATGTTAACCTTTCACCTATGTCTAAATGCTTATCATCTCTTTCTTGTGATCAAAGATTTGAAATAATGCACAAATTTACCTTTTGTAAAAAAAAAAAAAAAAAAAAAAAAAAAAA